AAAAGGATAACTATTGTTTTTTGTTTTTTTGTTTGTTTGTTTGTTTAAATGAATAATGGAAACGGCTGTTTCCATGACTTAAACTGTGATGCAGGACTTTTGCAGCACATACGGACTGAACCAGGACTAAAACAGGTTATAGAGGCTTTGCACCGTCACCTGACCCCTATTGCAACAGTACCCACGCCGCCATGACACCGGGCACACTATGTCATTGACTTCAGCAGCATCGGAGAAACATGGGCAGGTTTTATTGTGTATTTGGTTGTTCTAGACGCTCTGAAAAGGATAAAACGAATTGTTTCTTCACTGATCCTCTGGAAATGACTCATCAGGAGCTCAAACAAAAATGAACGAAAAAAAGATGCGGATTATGGCTAGCAAAAATAAACTGCAAAGAGTTTTCCTATGTTACCATCAAGACACCCGAAGTTTCATCAAGGTATTTGCTATTTAAATTGTTTCATAGCTTATTTAATGAAAGAAGCACATTTACTGAACTAAAATTTCATTAATTTATCCAGGAAAACCTGCACTAGTTTACGATTCAACAAACCCACACTGGGCTCCTGTGATCAACATGGCGCACGAGTCAAAGAGTCTGTGAGCCGAACCTCGAAAGAATCGGCCATGAAAAGATCCTCGCGAACGTTAGAAAGATCCACACACAAAAACTGATAGTTGTGGATAAACAAGGCAATAAAGTAAACATGGGTCCTACTACGACGAGTGACATGTTTATATGTGCGCTGGAAGATACAGTTTCTACTGCCGCTCACACTGCAACAGTGTTTACTTTTTAAATTTTAGTTCAGTAAATGTGCTTCACATTAAATAAGCTATGAAGCAATTTAAATAGCAAAAACCTTGATGAAAGTGACGTGAGTGTGTCTTGATGGTACCATAGGAAATCTCTTCACGGTTTATGTTCTCTAGACATAATTCCTGTCTTTTTTTCCTGATAATTCCCTTGTTTGAGCTCCTGATGAGTAATTTCCAGAGGAACAGTGAAGAAACGAATCATTTTATCCCGTTCAGAGCGTCTAGAACAACCAAATACACAACAAAACCTGCCCATGTTTCTCCGATGCTACTGAAGTCAATGACATAGTGTGTCCGATGTCATGGCGGCGTAGGTACCGTTGCTATATGGGTCACGTGACGGTGCAAAGCCTCTATAGTATATATGTAACTCTCCCAAATATTTATGTATTTAATTTGGTGTTTCTTTGTATTTTACTTTGCGCCATCTGGTGGTCAAACAAGATGTGGAACAAAGTATAATAAAAAGTTCCACCCGAACCTTATGAACTGTGCACCCTGCTATCTGCTCATTGCCGCAGACACGTGAATATCTCCGGTAAGATCATTATAAATCAGATAAAAATTTTATAGGAATATCAATGTAAACATTTGTTTATTTTTATTTAGTACGTAACAAAGGAATCTGAAGCCAGATAAGCGATTAGCCCCCTCGTGGATGTCAGCCCATGAGGTTTGTGTGCTTTTATTTTTGTCTAATTTAAGTTTCAGTATACTTATGTTTTAAGTATATTGTAAGGTGCAGAGTTGATTTTCATGTTTATTTATTGTGTTTTTCTTTGCTGACAGTTCTCACGGGTTGTGAAGAGCGTGAATAAACTCTGTTTAAAAACCTTGTGCTCATGCTCATTCCTCGAGGGTGCTACAATATATAACCTTGTAATGGAAGATACACAATAAGAAACATATCAAAAACATTTAAAAAGACACTGAAACAAAAAAAGGAGGAGGCCCCGGGGAAGACCTAGGACACGCTGGAGGTACTATGTCTCTCGGCTGGCCTGGGAACGTCTTGGGATCCCCCCGGAAGAGCTGGAGGAAGTGTGTGTGGAGAGGGAAGTCTGGGAGGCCCTTCTCAGACTGCTGCCCCCTCGACCCGACCCCGAATAAGCGGATGAAAATGGATGGATGGACAAAAAAACAAAAAACACCAAAGAATGAAAAATAAAGCAAAAAGCAAAAAAAATACTGGTAAAGTTATGCCAGTGAAAAAAGCCATTTTGAATGGAAGTCAATGGGACATAAATGTACCAAAGGACCACAGATGTGAGTATTTTGATTACAGCCCGTTCAGTTAATGTGATCAGAAATTAAAAATACATCACAAAATACACAAACTGACCCACAGACTGACCAATTTTGGTGCTATCTGGTGCAATAAAGCCAAAGTTATGCAAAAAATAAAATAAAATAAAATGTTGAAATGTACAAAGACGTGCCCAGGAGTCCAGGAGGGTTAAATTATTTACCCACATTCATAATCCACATTCACCAAGACAGAGAGACAACGCCGGGCGAATTACGACACGATCTGCCGATGGATCGTGGACGCCTGGGCTAAAGGGTCAGTCTCAAGCGTCGTCCGTTTGTTTTGCTTAATGCGTCTTATGTATGAAAATAGACGAGAGAATTCAACATTATTGATATTGCGCCTTATAATCCGGTGCAACTTGTAGCCCGAAAAATACAGTACACAGAACAACATGAGATAAGTGAGGAATAACTTTGTACCACTGCGAAATGTTTCAAATGAACTCCTCCTCCTGCTTTTCTTTTTTTTTAAGACGGTAAAAATCAAGTACTGCGTCTTTAAGTATCTACTCACTTTGTTTAAGTTGCTTCAAATCTCTCCTCTCTCCTCTTCTTATTCCACCCCTCGCTGGGCTGGTGTCAGTGGTACGTGCAGCATCTCTCCGCCTGCATATCTCTGCACACTCGGGGGTAAAAAAAAAAAAAGAAAAACGTCAGAAAGCTAAAGATGAGCTCCGTCGGTCTCCCGTGTGGATATAGGTTTAGCGTCGTGCTTTTCTCTTTCTCCAATGATTATGCTCTGATCGACACAGAAAGGCTTACTCATCCTATTTGGTCTGCGTAGATAATGATAATATTAATACATCGACTACTGCATAACTATTGAAAAAAAAAAAAAAAAAAAAAAAGGTCCTGAGGATAGTTTGAAAACTCACGAAAAATACAAACAAGTCTGAGCAATACGAGCGCTCATGGTCCTGTTTAGGTGTATGATTTTCAACAAAAAGGTGATGGAGAGTGTGGCTACGTTCAGACTGCAGGGTTTAATTCTCAATTTTTACCTCCGCCAAGGAGGTTATGTTTTTGCCGGCGTTTGTCTGTTTGTTTGTTTGTTTGTTTGTTTGTCTGTTAGCAACATAACTCAAAAAGTTATGGACCGATTTTGATGAAATTTTCAGGATTTGTTGGAAATGTGAAAAGGAAGAACTGATTTCATTTTGGGGGTGATCCGGAAGAAATCCTGGATTCTGGATCACTTTGAAATTTTAGTTAACATTGTGGTAAATGGGGCCAAAAATTTTGTTTCTCAATATCTCGGTTAATTATTGACCAAACCCCATGAAATTTGACTCAGGGATGGACAATGGGATCCTCTTTCATATTCCAAATTGAAAGATACGAGACAAATATTTATGGAAAACACAATTAATATGAGGGGGACTGTAGTCCTTGGCGGAGGTCTGCGCTCTCTGAGTGCTTTTCTAGTTAGTTTTTTTTTGTTTGTTGTGAAATCTGAATTTTTTGCAAGGTCGTTCACGTTTCCAATTTAATCCGACTTGTATGTGATCTCCAGTGTGAACTTTGAACGCCCCAAAAGTGAGATTTTAAATTTGCTGTCATGCCGGAGCCAGAACTTGTACAGCTTATTTGTTTTAAGGAGGAGATTGAGAAGGAGGAGGACGAGGTTTTTGGCCGTGGCGTTTTGTGGGGCAGTGGCAGCAACATCTGTAGAAAGGCACGTGTGGGAGTGAAGTCGCAGACAAGAGTGGTGGGGTTGATCTGTGCTTCGCTATTTCACTGACAGAGAATTCATACACAATTTTTGTTGGACGAGAAGAACATTTGTGTACATTTGTGACGTGTAGGTGGGATGAATGTGACCTGGCCATTCACACTGAAGTCGCATGCCAAAAGATCAGATATGTATTGGTTTTAGGAGCACATATCAGACTGCAGCTTGAAGTGACCCAAATCTGATTTTTCCACCTCTATGCGACCTGTATCTGATCTTTTAATGACAGTCTGAACGACACAGATCAGATTTTTTTCAAATACGACCCAGGCCACTTGGATATGTGCTCCTAAAACCGGCCAGGTCGCATTCATCCCACCTACACATCACAAATGTACACAAACGTTCTTCTTGTCATAAAAAAAATGTGTCTGAACTCCCACACGTTCCTTTCTACGGACGTTGCTGCCACTGCCCCACAAAACACCACGTCCAAAAACCTCGTCCTTCTCCTTTTCAATCTCCTCCTTCAAACAAATAAGCTGTACATGTTCTGGCTCCGGTACAACAGCAACTTTAAAAACTCCACTTGCTTAACGCTGTGTCCATGTTTAGGCGACTTCCGTAAACACAGAGCATGCTCGCTCGCTGTATTGATGCCGTGGTGTGCTTCATTGCACATGCGGGACACTTTTGGGCCATTTAAAGTTCACACTGGAGATCACATACATGTCATATTTAATTGGAAATGTGAACGACCTCGCAAAAACATCAGATTTCACAGAAAAATCCAAAGTGAGCATGAAGCCCTGCAGTCTGAACGTAGCCCAAGCGGCCTGGGTCGCATTTGAAAAAATCTTATCTGTGTCATTCAGACTGCCAAGTTCATGTTTTATTGTTTGATAATCAGGAAGTGTGGCTTGGCATGCTGTTTGCTTTTCCGTCATGACAAAACTCTGCTCTGGTCTGATAAAGTTGTGAAAAGTGCTTATAAACTCACCATGATGAATAATTATGATTTTTGAAACGCATTCGTTCACCAGTCCACCATTTCAATTCTCTTTCTTCACAAAAAGTTTAAGACAAATGACACTGGGTTAATATGGAGAGAAAAGTTTAATCACTATGAAAAGCAAAAGCTACATCTGAACATTCAGCTTGATTGCGAATATAGAGTTGATCACAGATGCACTGGTCACTTCTTCTGGGGGGAGCACTGGCAGAGAAAACCCTCCAGAGTCAGGGACACGGACTTGGGTTCAGGTAAAGCCGAGTGAGGAACATCTTTGGCACAGATGTAGGGCAGCGTCACGGAGTTTGGGGCGTCATTCCAATATGGTCCTGTTTTCAGAGAGAGAAGTAAATATGTAGATTCGGGAGTATTTCAGCGTATTCTCTGGCAGAAAACATTGCTTGTAATTTGTGGAACCAACTCTGCACTAAAATGTAAAGAGGCCCCATACCATTAAAATTTATATGCATGTTGTGCTCATTTCCTCCAGCATTGTCCGGTTGTGAATCAGCCCACGCGGTGAAGTCCCAAGCAGACCCATCACTCCACATCCACGTCCCCTCCTGTCCACAGTCAATATCTCAGATTTAAACATATTTAAAACAGGTCTAATGTCTGAATATTGTGACCAAATCTTTCTGTTTGGTTTGTCAAAAGGATTGACAATCAAGCACTAATCAGTACTAAAATTTATACTGTTGGACAAGCAGAAACATACAAAAGAAGTCACATCAGGAGGACAAAAATGAACCTTTTACTGAACAGAGTGATCTTGAGCTGTATCAGAACAAGTGTCTAGTTTACACCAATATAAAAGAAAATACTATGATTTAATTTCAAAAATGCCATTCTACTGTCTTTTTACTACAAAAGCCCTGAGTGGCAAGAGAAAAAAAAGTCATTGGGTTTTTCATTTTTCCTAAAATTGCTAAAACAAAAAAATAATAAAATTCTTTTTAAAAAATAAATAAATAAATCGTGTTTAATTAGATTTTTTTTTTTTTTTTCATTTTACACAAACAAAAATGTTTTTTTCTCTTCTGTTTTTTTTTTTTTCCAACAGGTATATATTTTTATTTTATTTATTTATTTTTTTTAATGCTGATAATTAAAAAAAATAAAAAATTATAACGATAAAACTCAGAAAATGGATCCCAAATGATGAGCCTCTTTTTTTTCTTTCAGTTTTTTTTTTTTTTTTTTTTTCTGCCACTCAGGCCTTCGGTATTGCTTCCATATTTTACAGTTTTTTGTTTGTTTGTTTGTTTGTTTGTTTTTTATCATCATGGTGTTAGAATCTGAAAATCCCAAATTAAAATTTTTGAGTTTGAAGTTTAAGTATCGTGACAACACTGGTTTCTTTTACCAGCACGGCATCGTTCCCACCCAGCCAGGTGCTAGCGAGGTGCCCTGTCGCCTCTACGATCATCCCCACAACAAAAGTGTTTTCGTCCTCGCTGTGGATGGAGGCCAAGTTTCCATTCAGAGAGTGGCAGCTTTTCTGTGAAATCAAGACAGTTATTATTATTATTATTATTATTATTATTATTATTATTATTATTATTATTAAAGGGATATTATACTAAGCTATTTTCTGATGTGACATGGTTGTTTCCTCATCAATAACATACCTGTCTTATTCAAACTGAAAACTCTGATCCACTTTATGATGTCATTAAGTGGTAACACAGAAAGTGCTCCACTGTGTTTTTAAACTCCATGCACCTTCTCTAGAATCTTTTGGATAATTTCAGCCCCAGAATTGACGATCTCTACTCAACAAAAGGTAAAAGGAGGAGCTAACTTGAAAACTACCGCTTCATGACATCACGAGGTGGAACAGAGCGTATTGAGATTTGGAGATGTAGACAGACTAATAATAAAGAATTAACAAAACACAACTCTGGGTCTGTTTTTGATGAGGTAACAGCATTATAACATGGTTTAGAGCTACAAGAGTCCAGTTTGTGTAATATTGAACTTTAAATCTTGATCTCTATTATTATTGTTTTTCGATACGACTGTTCATGTGTCTTTTATTACCTCGGCCTCGGTCCAGGTCTTTTGCTCCTCAAAGAACTTGAAGCAGTGGGAGTCAAACTTTGTCCAGCCGTCAGCGCAGTCTTCAAAAAAGAACCAATAGAATCAAACAAAGAATTTATTTTCTGAATCATAAAAACAAAAGTGTCACTTACCTTGGTCGCCTTCTGCCACCTGTGATTAGAAAAGTCACATGAGTCAAAGTTTTTACAAATGAAATCATCTTTTCATAGACTGAACCCTCAAAACTGGGACTAAAGTGGTACTAAACCCAGAACTATACCTGGACTGGACCAAGACTAGACCAGAACCAGTAAACCAGGACTAAACTAGGACTACCAGACCAGGACTACACCAGGACTACACCAGGACTAGACCAGGACCAAACTAGGACCAGACCAGGACCAGACCAGGACTAGACCAGGACCAGACCAAGACCAGACCAGGACCAGACCAGGACCAGACCAAGACTAGACCAGGACCAGACCAGGACCAGACCAGGACTACACCAGGACCAAACCAGGACTAAAAGAGGTCTAGACCAGGACCAGACCGGGACCAGACCAAGACCAGACCAGGACTACACCAGGACTAGACCAGGACTAGACCAGGACCAGACCAAGACTAGACCAGGACTAAACTAGGACCAGACCAGGACCAGACCAGACTAGACCAGACCAGACCAGGACCAGACCAGACCAGACCAGGACCAGACCAGGACCAGACTAGGACTAGATCAGAAGTGGATCAGGACTTGACCAGGATCAACCCAGGACCAGATCAGGACTAGATCAGGACTAGACCAGGACTAGACCAGGACTAGACCAGGACTAGACCAAGACTAGACCAGGACCAAACCAGGACCAGACCAGGACCAGACAAGGACCAGACCAGGAGACAGACCAGGACTAGACCAGACCAGGACTAGACCAGGACCAGACCAGGACTAGACCAGGACTACACCAGGACTAGACCAGGACTAGACCAGGACTAGACCAGGACTAGACCAGGACTAGACCAGGACCAACCAGGACAAAACCAGGACCAGACCAGGACCAGACCAGGACCAGACCAGGGTCAGGGTCAGATTCTCACAGCTGGAGGAGTGAGTAGTGCAGCAGTGGCCAAACAGCCCAGCAGAATGTGAAGTCCACGTGCAGCCATCTGAAAGAACAACAAATCTGTAAATATACAAAGGTTTGATGAAGACACTTGTGATCAGAGAGAGTCCAGACTTCTACAGCTCAGGAGTCACTGTGGAGTCAAGACGCTCCAGACACATTTATACAGTCAGGAGCAGGAAGGAGGTCACAAAAACAAGACATGTGGAAAAAACAAGACTAAAAAAATGAAAAAAATGCTTCAAGAAGATTGACATTTATATAAGTGAAGTTCAGTTTGTCCCAGATCTCTTAGATCTCTGTCTAACAGGTTTGTGCTGCTTTAGTGTAGATTTACATTTAACAACAGATGCTTTAAATTTCTCTTCTGTTTCCTCAATTCTGCAGGAGAAGAAGATTGTGCTCGGTAAATAGTTAATATCACCCTGGTGTAGTCCTGGTCTAGTCCTGGTCTGGTCCTGGTCTAGTACTGGTCTAGTACTGGTCTAGTACTGGTTTGGTCCTGGTGTAGTCCTGGTCTAGTCCTGGTCTAGTCCTGGTCTGGTCCTGGTCTAGTACTGGTCTAGTACTGGTTTGGTCCTGGTCTGGTCCTAGTTTAGTCCTGGTCTAGTCCTGGTCTGGTCCTGGTCTAGTACTGGTCTAGTACTGGTTTGGTCCTGGTGTAGTCCTGGTGTAGTCCTGGTCTGGTCCTGGTCTAGTACCTGTCTAGTACTGGTCTAGTACTGGTTTAGTCCTGGTTTGGTCCTGGTGTAGTCCTGGTCTGGTCCTGGTCTGGTCCTGGTCTAGTACTGGTCTAGTACTGGTTTGGTCCTGGTGTAGTCCTGGTCTAGTCCTGGTCTGGTCCTGGTCTAGTACCTGTCTAGTACTGGTCTAGTACTGGTTTAGTCCTGGTTTGGTCCTGGTGTAGTCCTGGTTTAGTCCTAGTTTGGTCCTGGTCTGGTCTTGGTCTGGTCCTGGTCTAGTCCTGGTTTGATCCTGGTCTCGTCCTGGTGTAGTCCTAGTTTGATACTGGTCTAGTCCTGGTTTGATCCTGGTCTGGTCCCAGTGTTGTTCTAGTTTGATCCTGATGTAGTCCTGGTTTAGTCTTGGTGTAGTCCTCGTCTGGTCCTGGTCTAGTCCTGGTTTGATCCTGGTGTAGACCTGTGGATCTTTATGTTGCAACATTTACAAATGAAATCATCTTTTCATAGACGCATCCACATCCAAACTGGGACTGAAGTGGTACTAAACCCGGAACTATACCTGGACTGGACCAACACTAGACCAGGACCAAACCAGGGCTACACCAGGACCAGACTAGGACAACACCAAGACTAAACCAGGACTACATCAGGATCAAACTAGAACAACACTGGGACCAGACCAGGACCAAGGACAAGACATGGGGAAAAAAACAAGACTAAAAAAATGAAAAAATGCTTCAAGAAGATTGACATTTATATAAGTGAAGTTCAGTTTGTCCCAGATCTCTTAGATCTCTGTCTAACAGGTTTGTGCTGCTTTAGTGTAGATTTACATTTAACAACAGATGCTTTAAATTTCTCTTCTGTTTCCTCAATTCTGCAGGAGAAGAAGATTGTGCTCGGTAAATAGTTAATATCACCCTGGTGTAGTCCTGGTCTAGTCCTGGTTTGGTCCTGGTGTAGTCCTGGTCTAGTCCTGGTCTGGTCCTGGTCTAGTACTGGTCTAGTACTGGTTTGGTCCTGGTGTAGTCCTGGTCTAGTCCTGGTCTGGTCCTGGTCTAGTACTGGTCTAGTACTGGTTTGGTCCTGGTGTAGTCCTGGTCTAGTCCTGGTCTGGTCCTGGTCTAGTACTGGTCTAGTACTGGTTTGGTCCTGGTGTAGTCCTGGTGTAGTCCTGGTCTGGTCCTGGTCTAGTACCTGTCTAGTACTGGTCTAGTACTGGTTTAGTCCTGGTTTGGTCCTGGTGTAGTCCTGGTCTGGTCCTGGTCTGGTCCTGGTCTAGTACTGGTTTAGTCCTGGTTTGGTCCTGGTGTAGTCCTGGTCTAGTCCTGGTCTGGTCCTGGTCTAGTACCTGTCTAGTACTGGTCTAGTACTGGTTTAGTCCTGGTTTGGTCCTGGTGTAGTCCTGGTTTAGTCCTGGTTTGGTCCTGGTCTGGTCTTGGTCTGGTCCTGGTCTAGTCCTGGTTTGATCCTGGTCTCGTCCTGGTGTAGTCCTAGTTTGATACTGGTCTAGTCCTGGTTTGATCCTGGTCTGGTCCCAGTGTTGTTCTAGTTTGATCCTGATGTAGTCCTGGTTTAGTCTTGGTGTAGTCCTCGTCTGGTCCTGGTCTAGTCCTGGTTTGATCCTGGTTTGATCCTGGTGTAGACCTGTGGATCTTTATGTTGCAACATTTACAAATGAAATCCTCTTTTCATAGACGCATCCACATCCAAACTGGGACTGAAGTGGTACTAAACCCGGAACTATACCTGGACCAGTCTAGGACAGCACCAGGACTAAACCAGGACTACATCAGGATCAAACTAGGACTACACTGGGACCAGACCAGGACCAAATCATGACTAGACCCGGACCAGACCAGGACTACACCAGGATGAACCCAGAACTAGATCAGGACCAGACCAAGACTACACCAGGAGTAAACCAGGACGAGACCAGGACAAAACCAGAACTAGGCCAGACTAGGACCAAACCAGGACTAGGCCAGATTAGGACCAAACCAGGTCAAGACCAGGACCAAACCAGGACTAAACCAAGACTAGACCGGGACTAGACCAAACCAGGGTGAGGCCAGATTAGGACCAACCCAGGGCTAGATCAGGAAGAGACCAGGACAAAAAACAGGACAAAACTGTTTAATATACAAGTATTTAGAAAAGAAAAAGGCCTATCCACTGAAAACAAAACACCATCTTGACCTTAATTAAAATACAGTCTGCACCCTGTCATTTAAATGTGCACTGCGTAACCTTTCTAGTTGGGGGTATGCCACCTGCTTTTTTATGTTCCTCTGTTTGGCATTAAACTCATCTATCTCCATGGAGACGATCTGCTTTTCGCCCAGCAGCAAAGTTAGACATTTTGACGTGCGCAGGCTGGGGTGGCTGTGGTATGGCAGCTATGACCTACATCTGTAATTTATGAATCAGGAAGCAACAGCCTAAAAAGTGTCTTTCCCCTATACGAGGGAGAATGCAAAATATGTACAGCCTCCAACTTCCTCGTTCGATGCTTTGGTCGTCTTATTGTTATGTGACGCAACAACGGAGGGACCCAAAAAATGGACTGGAGACCGGTTCACAAAAATGAAAAAGGAGACCGCGCAGACCTCTAATAGAAATAGGAGGCTGTACATATTTTGTAATCTGTATTAGTCCTTCAGATTTTTTCAAGATGATAAAAGACATAAGAATTGTCTAATGTCAAGTTATATTAAAGGTGCATTGTGTAACTTTTCTGTTGCAGGGTCCGTCCGTGTTTCTCCGTGAAAATGTTATTGCTTTGTCTAGAATGGCCTTTCTATTAGAGGTCTGCGCGGGACAGAATTTTTAGTCCAGCTCCCACCCGCAAGTCCCTCAAGATTCGGACATTCGCTTTCTTAAGCAAACACAAAACACGAAAGAATTGGAAAGGAATTGTCTCAAATGTGAGCGAGATTAGACGACATCCGCGAATTTATGCTGCTTCAAATGTTTTTATTAATGCCAAATAAAACATCCAACACAAAGGATGTATGATAGGCAAACATTAATCATTTGTATATTTTACTTTACACTTATATTTAGTTTGTGGGACTGCAGTTTATCATCCCACCATCCTACCCATTTAACTATTTTACGGTTATAGAAGCATCTTATTGATTTATTTGCGCTAAACAAGAATTAAACCAGAACTAAACCAGGACTGTTTGCCGGGACGGGTCCAAAGGTAGGGTGACCATATTTCCATTTGTGAAAACCCGGGCACCTTACCGGGGGTGGGAGGTGGGGCCTCGACATTGAGCTACAGTCGTCCCTCGCTATATCACGGTTCACCTTTCGCGGTCTCGCCGTTTTGCAGATTTTTTTTTCTTTTTCTTTTTTCTTTTTTTTTTTTTTGTGTCAATTTTGCAATTTTTGTCTTTTTTTTTTTTTAAACACACGAGTGGGTCAGGACTAAACCAGGTCTAAACCAGGACTAATCTTGGACTTAAGAGAGAGAACGGCGAGCAGTTTGTCTGCAAAGCGCGATCGGGCAATTGCCACGTTTACCTCCGTGAGGTGCAGAGCTCTCCATCTGTCTTTTCTCCTGCGGTCACCTCCGAGCCCGTCCCGACACTGAGTCCTGTTTCAGTTCTAGTTTAGTCCTGGTTTAGTCCTGGTTTACTCCTGTTTTAGTCCTGGTTGAGTCCTGGTTTAGTCTTAGTTCAGTCCGTGGCGTAGGCAGCACAAAAGTTTGACATAATCTCGGGTTAACGGGCGGGTGCGGTCCTGTCCTGCGCGGGTGCGGTGTTGTACTGCAGGTCTCCAAAAATGGACCCGTGCAGGACTCTGCGCTGTAGGGCTGTATTACGGAATAAATTAATCTTTGATTCGTAACATAAAGAAGGAGGAAAATAATATAAGGATGACAGCAGCAATAAGTTTTAAGAAGGTTGTAACTGTCCTGTGTGAGAAAAGTGTATAAAGTTTGTGCTCAGGGGTTTTTACAGACTTAAAACCGATAGAATAATTATAAAATATAAAGTTGATACTTCGTGGATTTCACCTATCGCGGGTTATTTTTAGATCGTAACCCTCGCGATAAACGAGGGAACACTGTCCTCTAACCTCACAGCCTGTGCACATGGACTCCCACTTGTCCCGACTGGGATGGAAAACTGAGAATTTCTTGTACAAGTCATTGTTAAATGTGCATTTACGCTTCGGTATGTTGCTGACTGACCGACTGTTTGTATCTGCTCGCTCCTTCTGAGTCACAGTGAACTAATAGAGACGCTCAGTTTAATGCCCCTAATGAACGGTAATGAAAACCCGGACATTTGCATCACTTAAAAAAAAAAAAAATAAATGCCCCGGACAAGACGCAAAATACGGACAT